CTTAGTTTCGCTTCTGTATGATGAAATGATTGTTGTTCCGACTTTCGGTGAAAAATAAAATATTTGTTTTTTTCTTATTGGCCCGAAATATTTGGGTTTGGTTTTTAGGCACAATTTTATTTTCAACCAACCCTACTTGAAGATAATTTTCAGATTATCTGTAAGGTATTAATGTCCTGAGCTGAAATTTCTAGCTGTGATCCTTGATCTTAAATATATGGTGGTTCGAAAACTACCAATTGGCTAAGTAGGGATAATTAACACGTGCTCAAAAAACGCGTGAGTGGTAATTTAATCTGGCTCAAAATTTTTTAAACAGATTTATTCGAGGCAAAGGTTTTAAACATATTTTGCTAGAAGCTGAGTTTTTCACCTTGTACTTTACAAAGCGTGTGAGTTTCAAATTAAAAAAAAAATCAATTTTTCGCTTCTTGATCATGCTGTTTGCACACATTCTTAGAAGTTAGAAATATTTTCAGTTTAAAAAATGGTTAAAGTTAAACAGGTCCAAAACGGGGCTAGGTCTTTTACCAGACCAATTTTTCAATAGACCACAATGCAATAATTTAATTGAGATAAATTTAAATTAGTGGAAGGTTCAAATAGGAAGCGGTTAGAACAAACAAAATTTTGCTAAGAAACCAGACTACACGACGTCATTACATCTGTCAATCAAATTTCTTTATCGAGTCTAGTAAAAGGTCCGTGTTATAATTTTTCTGGTAAAAGTTCGGTCTGATAAAAAGCTGGTTCCCGGTCCAAAACAGTTTTGAATAATAGTAGTATTTTCGTTTGCGTTGCAGATTTTTTTCTCTGACGTGTTTTTTTGGAAAAATAGTTACGCTTGAATTATCAGCGCATTGTATAGAGCAGCTGCGTTATAAAAAGTTTGCGTCAATTTCTTCGCTTTTAAGATTATCGTTAGGAGTGTTTTTCTCACGATACCAAGTCCACCAGAAAACTTTGAGTTCCAACAGAATCTGCCCCAATTCTCTTTTTGAGTACTAGAGGCATGTTTTAACTACTTGAAACTAGCAAACTAATTTCAGTTGGTCAAAACCATCAGTTGAGCAGAAAAATTCACAATTATTGAGATCTAACGAGACTGCTCGTATATCAGGAAGAAGCCCTGAATGGCCCAACTGCCCCTTAATCCATATCGAACAGTTTTTGGGAAAAAATATTGAAAATCTATAATTTTTTTAGACAATATCAAAGATCAAGTTTGAGTGGTACGAAATGAATACAATTCAGTTAGCCTCAATTCGTTTTGGAACGATTTTGTCGTGCGGGATAATTTACCACCCATAAATAAATCGCGTTGCGCTTTCAGCATTACGAATAAATTCTTCAAAGCGCCTAGAAAACGGCCGAATTGCAGTTTTTTAATCTCCCAGAATTTTTCAAAAAATTTCGGATGTAAAATAACTTTTTACAATTGAAGTCCGGAATTCGATATCTTCAATGGCGTTCAGTTTTTTTGTTAAAAACTATTATTTCTAACAGGGAAACTTGACTGAATGAAAAACCACACCAAGCATGAATTTTCACTTTTCTGCGAAGATCGCATCAAAAAATAATCACTTTGGTTGCATTAAGCCGGGCCGGTGTCTTTCTATTCTAATTGAAGGAAAATGTAATATGCTCTTTTGTATTTTTATATCTTGCTGAAGTGGTCAGTTCTTGGGACTTATTTACAGGTTTAGAGAACCAACCCTACCAATGCTCTCAAAGCAACGATAGTTAAAACGAAAAAATCGTTTTTTTTCTGAATTTGCTATTATTTTCGTGGCACTAGTGGCACTAAAAAAACACTCGGTTACGCATTCGATAACGATTTTTGTCGCTTTGAAATTTTGATTGGGGAAAGGGGAGAGACAGCTCAATTAGTCATTACAGGGGAATTGGGTTGCTCAATTGATCCGATTGTTTCAATGCAAAGATTGTTTACATTTTTCTTCCTCCGAAGTATGAAAGTTTAAAAATGAGCAAAAAAATGTAAATTATTTTTCCCAGTTTCCCTGATTTTATTGACACATAGCAATTTATCTGCTGTTTTTTTTCGTAATTAATTGTCCTTTTTTTACGCGTGGTACTCAATTTGATTGACCTTTATCTTAAAACAAACAATGAATGAAGATTAAATTTTTTTGAAAATCTAAGAAGTCTTAATTAAATTTTTAAAACTCACGGCATAGTCTTTTTGATAAAACGGTTTGCACGGATTCTTAAAAGCTAGAGATGCTTTGAGTTTTTAATGGTTAAGTTTAAAATGTCGAAAAAAGTTGTGAATAGTCGTAGTGTTTTTTTTTGCGTTACCGATTTTTCAAGAGTAATGAACGTAGTGCGGACTCTTATATATGTCTTGCTGATTTTTTTTGTTATTTTTTTCAGGTAAAAGTCTTCAATTTTGTTCGCGCTCAATTTTGGTGTTTCGCAGTTTGACTTGTGATTTCTTTTTAAGTTCAGTGCATTTCCATTGTTAAAAGGAAGGCAAAATACGCGGTCGAAAATCAAAAATGTAAAGGTCTCGAAAAACGTGATCAACTTCTTATTTCGAAAATGGAAATTAATTATCAGATAACCCAGTGAAATAAAAATTCTCCTTGTGATCCAGTTTTCTCACATTGGTTTAATTTTAGTTAGCAAAAAAGTGTCCATCATAAATTTTTTTCAAACTCAAAGAGCTTTAAGGCCGTCTATTTTTTTCTTCGAAATTCAAAAGTTGAAGATTTTTGAAAAAAGATAAAGTCAGTTTTTGTTTCAGTTTCTTTGCATTCATTAAATTTTTCCAACTGTCAGTTGGCAATGTTTTCACTGACTTGCTTTTTTTGTGGAAACTGGTTAAGCTTGAATTGTCAGCGCATTGTATAAAGCAGCAGCATTGTGAAAAAATTGCGTGGATTTTTTTGCTTGTTAGACATTGCTAGGAGTTTTTCTTCACGCGGTATCAGGTCCATCAACATCATAGAGAGCCAATTGTGTTTGCTCTTGCGTTAAGCAAGATAATTGCAAAAGGGTTCTATACCTTTTTTTAACTCGATCAAATAAATTTTCTGAGGTCTCCAAAATCACTATTAAGACGTTATTTTAGCCAAATTTTCTGCGGAACAGTCAAACTTGGAAAAACAGGAAAAAAGCGGTTTTTAGATAAAACTATTTTTGGTGCGTTATAAATTTTAGGTTAGTCAGCCAAAAATGGATATCTCGAAATACTACATAGGGTGGGGGGCTTTGGGTCGGCTCAGGGTCAAATCCCTGAGGGAGGGGGCAATCACCTGCCTCCCTTTAATCCGGTACTGTCTGTCTGCAATTAAATGACAAAATTAAGGTAAAGTTCCTGCTTGCTTGGGCCATTTTTTGAATCCTCTTTGATTTCTAGCTTTTCGAAATAATACACATTCACTGCTAACGCGAGCTTTTTTAAACCAGAGAATGTCAGAATAAATTGTTAGAACATGGAAAATAAAATATTAAGTCGTTTTATGTCCGGATCTTCATTGGAATATAGTTTCTAGTGTTTAGGATGAAAGTGTGTGTGTACTTCGTCGGCTCTCTTGGCCGACTGGAATGCCTCCAGTCTATCCAGGGCCCCGATGTTCTCCATGCAGTTCTTGCCCAGATACTTGCAACATACTCTGCAGTTCTCATCGCACTCTCCTAGCTTTTTCACAAACAGCAGATCAAGTTAATTAGGCGAATTTTTTTTTCAAAAATGGGTTCCAATTAAAAATAAACTTTATGAAAAACAAAATTGAAGTTGAAGAGAATTCCCGTTTAGGTACTTTCTTCAAATTTTTATTAAAAACCACGCTGTTGATTGTACACAAAATGGTATCGATGAGAAGACCAGCTGCAACCCGTTATGCCTCGCTCAGTTCCCTACAGCATTGCAAAAGTCCAATGAGCGGAGTATTTTTAGGTCTTTTGTTGAAAACGATCCGGCCAATTTTGAGGTTAAGGGTTTAATAAAAAAACAGACTGTGGGGCTCCTCCCTGCATATGCGGCTCAGCCCTAATTGTAGTAGAAGAAGTAAATGCTCGAAATATGTTTAAAAAGTGTTCCAAATTTATCAAACTTTTCCTCTTCTATCTTAGATTTTAAACTGAGGCTGTCAGCTGACCTTGACCATGGTGGCGTTTTCGATGGTCTCCTTGACCTTGCGACCTCTGGCATCTTTGGTGAACTGAGTGACAGTTGTGAATTTGTCCTCCGGGATTACTTTGCACTTGTGTTTTTTCGCAATGAACTTGAGGAGAGCGTACTGCTTCTCCGCAACCTAGAACAGAACAACAATATATTAGTAAACCTTAAAAAAATTTTCTGATTTGTAACTAATAAGCACTACTTTAAAATAAGAAACGCTTTTGAATTAACTATCTTTTAAAAAGAATTAATTATGATTAAAAAACCTATTTTTGAAAAACTATTATATTGGTTGTTCTGCTCCAGGTTGAAATTTACAAAAAATGTTCTGGATCAATTGAAGAGACTGAGATGAGACCTTTTTAATTCAGGATATTTTCTGAAATACAACTGTATAGATGAGAGATACGAAGCACAAAGGCTTATGGTCACCCTTTTTCTACAATAAAGCAGCTAAAAAAACATTTAAAAAAAACAAGGATAGGCGGTTACTGTGCAAGTACAATGTTCTGACCATAGTCTTTAAAAACTACAATTTTTTTTTCAAATTAGTCGTTTTTGTATACGTGGCGTGATAAAAAGATCTGATGTATAACTATAATTCAGGCATATGAACAACAAAAAACTATATTTTTTTTTTCAGTTTTTTTGCAGAATTTTTTTTTGAAATTTTTGATTTTCAAAATGGCGCTAAAAATTTCCGAAAACAAATTTTACTTGCTTAAAAGTAAGTTTTCAGGGCTTTAATTAGGTGTAACTAAGCTGTCGTAAAACTGCTCGCTCGCTTTATTCGCTCAAATCGGAAATAAAAATCAAAAATTTTAAATCAGTTTTATTCGATTGAAAATTGTTCAATGTCGCTCGAATCACGACTGAAAGGGTTTCAATTTGGTATATCACTCGACCCTGGTTTCGCGTGGAAAAGAAAAAATATTTATCACACCCAAATACGAAGTTCCTCCACATTTTTCAAAAGGTCGGAACAACAAGCTAGCTTGTACTAACATGCACAAAGAAAAAAATCGGAATTAGCCATTTTTAAGAGAACCGGGTGGTGAACTTGATAAATTTGCAGACAGTTTTTATGCCAAAGTTCGTTGAAACCATATCATTCGATTGATCTCTTTACCAGTTTCTTTTTTCATGCGAGTTTTTAATTTATGGCGTCATCGTCTTCATCGCATTTTGCACTATTCGTCGTTTGCACTGTCTGATCTAGACAGCCATATACTTAAACTGTGCGTGACAAAAGTATTCATAATGCTTTTCCTTCTCTTTCTTTCTAGACTCTTCAAACTTTTTGTGACTTTTATCCAGAGACGAAATCTGTTCTAATACACATTCGCCCAAACTTCGCATACAGCCCCTGCATTTTTCGTTCATTTGATCGCATGTGAACAAAGCAGCATTCTGAAGTTGTTCTTTTCGTTTTTTACCCTTAGCATCTGTGGTTGTGATCGCAAGGGACCCGAAACTTAGTCCGGAGGTGCCGGCGTCTCCGGAAATTCTGACCGGCCCGCCGTCATCGCCTACAGTGCTACACGGGCGATGTCCGCGTACAAGAACTTTCACCATTTTGTGAATTTTCTCATTTTGCTGAAATTTCAATCAGAACTCATCTTAAATTGAAAAATGGTTGCTCAAATGTCGACAATTCATAAATTTGATGATAAACAATCTTTATCCATTTTGAAACTATTTTCAAATAGAGCTATTAGATAAAATTTGAATCATTCCCTCAGTTAACACATGGCTTCGTGAATTTTGCTCTAAATGATGTTTTTTTCTAACGTTATACTTTTTGGTTTCTATATTTTTGAAAATGTGGAATTTAAAAGCCAAGATTCAGATTGGTATCGGAGTCTTATATTGGACGAAATATTAGGGTTTGCAAACGAAATGAATAAATGTCTTGGCAAAATGGCTTGCCAAATTAAGTCAATATACATCTTGTGGCATAAATAATTTTCCTAGAACCAGTAGTTTTGTCCCATCTTAGTTATAGTGGAGTATTTTTCAGCAGATGGCAACAGAAAAAAGTTGATCATTTGAATCGTCTAATAAACTGGTGTGTAAAAGTTTGCTTCATGAAAAAAAGTTTGAAAGATGTCGTGATCTACTTATGATGAAACATAACACCATAAAAAATTTTGTTTGCTGAAAGTTTTTGAAGTGTTCTTTGAAAAAATGAATTTTTCAAATGAAGAAATTGTACAAAAACATAAAAAGTCGTTGAACAATAGACCAAAAAAGTGAGTACTGCACAAGTATATGGAAACCATTCATCAGAGTTTTCTATTGCTAAAGTATGTGCCAAGAAGTGAAATGGTTTACTCAAAAACTTAAGAATGTTAAAAAAGTCAAAGTATAATAAGGAAATTAATAAATATTGGATACATTTACATGAACAGTTATCAGTTAACGAAATTAGAGGCTTTTAAGTCATATATACATAGATAACCTTTATATTCACCTTATATTAAATTCAGTTTGCTCAGAAGCCAGCCTGTGTTGACTTAATCCCATTTGTGATTTGTAAATTTATATAAAAAAACTATGATGTTAAAACAAATTTTTTTCGTCAAAAAAAGTTAGTAAATTTTTTTATAGTAAAAATAAATTATATTTGAGAAAATTTGCTAGTTTTTCAAAAAAATGTTTTACCCTCATCTATATTAATGTCTACTATGTTTTGGGTTGATGTGAATATAATGTCAGTTTTGATTTTTTTTTCGTTATTTGAGCACTATACAAATTAAAACATTGAGTTAGCCCAATTTATCTGTGTCCTGTTGTTCTCATTCTCAGCAAACAGTTTCCTGTTGCATTTTGGCTACCCTTATTAAATTTGAAAAAAAAGAGAAAAATTATGTAATGCTTATATAACTGACCTCGTCTATATGGGGCTGCTGTGCCTCCAGATAGAGTGCCCTCTCCCTCCACATCATCATCCTGCTCTCCTCATTCAACTCCTCAAAGTGCTCATCTGCTTCTATCACCAACAGCTGTCTAGTAGACTCCTGCTTACACAGGTGCTCACGCAGACGCTCCATCTAAACTCAAATTCATCGAAACGTGAAATGATTAAACTAATTATTCAATGAGTAAGCTAGAAACACAAATCCGCCCCCTCACAAGGCGTTTCCTTATTTTTTGTGAATGGCTCTCTTCTGAAACTAGCAGATCAAAGTAGCTGAAATTAATGTTATTTTATGACACTAGCTGAAAATAATTTTATTCGCTGGCGATGAACAAGCGTTATCAAATCGGAATGTAGACTTTTTGGGCTAGCAACAAGTTAATTGAAATCAGTGGAATCACTTTTGATGCTGCTATGTCATTCAAAATTAACTACTGGATGGCTTCTAGTTACTGCAGAGTAGTTCCAGGGGGAAGTTGGTCTCTTTATGCTTTAACTCTTTGTGTACAGCCTTCGAAAAAGTCTGTGGGGGAGTTTTTGACCTTTGACCAATATTTTTGATTTTTTTTCATCGTTTCTCAAACACTAACCGACCAAATCTGAGATTTTTGCCTCAATGAATAGAACGGATTTGACAAGCTTCCTTTCAGTAGCGGATTTAGAAGCAAAAGGCGGACGCCCCAACCCCCCCCCCCCCCCCCCCCCCCCCGCTCAGGGATTCGACCCCCCTGCCGACCTAACGGGTCCCCCCTTTGTGCTATTTTGAGATGTTCATTTTTGGCTGACTGAATTTTTCTAAAGGCGCCTTTGGCGCCAAGCTATACTAATTTCGAGAAGGGAGCGCGCGCAAAAAAAAACGCAATTTTTTGGCCGAAATTTTCCAAAAAGTGCCTAAAAACGCTTTTTGCCTGCAGCACAGAAAATTTGGTCAAACTAGTGGAACTTGATCTAAACTACATTTTATGATTGGATAAATTGGATATTTTACCACAGTAAAGTATTTAATATTAACCAATCATAATCCATCTAACTAACAACCCACTTATTTGAAAGTGCTGAAATTACTGGTAATTTCAGCACCAGAGAGAGTTGAATTTAACTTAGAAATTAGTTGCCTCTCCAAGAGAACTTCAGCAGCCGCAATAAACCAGTATACCCTAGATCTATTGAGCCTAGCAGAGACTAGTTAAACACCCTGAGACTAGAAAGTATAAGAGTAAGATTAGGATCGGTATTAGACTAAGAAGTTGCACGAATCTATCCGGCCGAAAATAAGATAGCGTGACGAGCAGACGGTGTACCCTATCCGAAATTACTCTATGAGTTAACCACATCGGTTCTAACTCATCTGGTGCGACAATAAGTCTCGAATAAGACCTTAATAGCTTAGAACTAACCAAAAATAGATTAGAAATTAGACAAAACTTTTTCAAAATGTTATACGATAATAATTTAATTGAAATGTCTCTACGACTCAATAGATCAGAGCCGATATTCCGAACAATAATAGAACTACCCGGAATTGGAAGAAGACCTCGAACCAGAGACGACATACGACAAAGTAGAAACTTACCAAATAGTTATATGATAGTACGGCAAAAGCCAACACAAACTTTTGTATTTAGAATCTTTTTAGCAATGAATTTAGATTTTCATTTGCAAACATAAAATTCAATCTACATGATCATTTCAGGCACTAAACAAAATTATTAATGTACAATAACAATTGATAAAAAGATCTCAGATCGTTTTTTTAATTTCTGCAGTATTACATAAAACATATTTGAAAAATATTTATTGAAAATGAAAATAAAAATTAGCAGCATGACAATAAATTGTTAGTAATCATAAATCATATGTTTTCCATCATAAGCTCACTAATATCATAAAAGAACTAAATCTTTTTCTTAAAAAAACTTAAACCCTCTTAAATTTAAATTCACTTAATTTTAAAATCAGATCCTCAAGGCTTATCCTTGGATCTTAATTAATTTTCTATTTCACTAAATTTAAAACCTGATCATCAAGGCCTATTCTTGGATCAAAAAGAACAATTTTGTTCTCCTCCACCCACTTAGCAAGTGTCTAACGACCTCAAACGTCGATTCACTATCCAACCCTTCCAAAAGACCTAAGACTAATAGAAATTTTTAAATAAAACTAACCATTCAAATTAAGATAAACAGTGAAGAACTTCGGTTATTCATCCTTCACATGAACCCTCCTCTTACCAGACCCAGGATAGGTCTTAGACTTAGTAGGTTTAAAATAGTATCTAACGAACTACTTGCGTTCTAATTATACCTGAACCTTGTGGATCGATTTACTATTCTCCAACCCTTGAACACAATCACTACCCCTAAGCAAGATTATATAAGTTAACACCATAGCTTAGACTAGCCACGAGAAAGTAAAAAATCATTCTTCGGAATCGATATACTTTTCTCTCCAACCCTGAATAAAAAGACCCAGTCTAAGCTAACCAAAAAATCGTAAGGATTAACAGTCTAAGAAAATAGAAATACCTAACAATTTTTTGCATCCCTCATCCTAAACCTTACGTCATTCAAAAATTTAGGAAATAAGCAAACAATCGTTTTACACAACTGTGAAATAGATAACAAAAAATACGATCTTGTAATCACACCTCATACACAAACAGTTGGATACATTAGAACAAAACGACAAACAATAAAAAGAAAAATTATAAACAAACAAAGACAAATCACACGAAATTTTTTTTTCAAAAAATAGAAACGCATTTTCTGAATCAGAAGCCAGCAGTTTAGATGAACTCTACAAATTAAATAAATCAATTGATAAAAATTGTCCCATTCACGACCAATTACATTTTTCCGACTCAGTAACAACTTCAAATTCATCAAAAACAGGAAAAAGAATCATAAAAAAGCAATACAAACACAAACCAGTACACCTGTATAATTGGAATCAACCAATTAGACACATCGATAGCTATATATTAACAGTCACCAAACGAAAAACTGAGCCACACTCAAAATGACGATAGTGCAGATGACGAAGCAGTTTACCCCAGAGGACAACATGATTTTTGCAAGAACTTACTCGTAAATTTGTTTAAACCCGGAATCAGTCCATGCAAAGCAGAATTCCCAGATGTAAAAATCAAAAGACAAATTATTGAACATTATTTGAAAGACATATCTAACCTAACACAACAATATGGAATCTACACCAAAGAATTCAGCACACCAAATACAGACCATGGTAAATATGTAATTCAAACAGATGATATTGAAATAGAATTTTCAAAAGTATTCCTAGAATTTATCAAAAGCATACAATATCATAATTCACAAAGAGCAAACTCCATATTTACTAGCGAAGTTTTTGCAATAATAAATACTTATATCTCTATATTAGAAAAAACAGAATTTCAAAGTCCCTCACCAACTGAAACATCCAAACATACAAAAGTACGACGTGAAATCGCATCATTTTCAACATTTCTACATATAATTAAAGAAAATTTCACTAAAGATGATGTTTCACAACACACTAAACATGATTTACAAAAGATTTTGGCATGGTTTATAGTAGATTATTTCAACCACAATTTAGATTTAATTTCACAAGCAAGAAAAAATTTCAGACCTTAAAATACAAATGATGACACTGCCCTTTCAGAACAATCAGACTACGTTTGGGACCCTGAATGGTCTCATCCTACATTTATAAAAATCTCACAAGCTATCTCAAGTAAAGCAATAAGTACAATATCTTATCACAGAGATTATGTAAAAGTAATACCATGAACTATTGATGCAACACCATTAAACTACAATACATTTTTACCTGATACGGGAAATAACAGTTTAAATTCGACCATCATACACAATGAAAACCTTAATGGAACTAAAAATCTTACACAACAAGATATTCAAACACCATCACACTTCATAAATGAAGAAATCGTCCAAACAACAACAACTACACAACAAAGTATTTCACCAATACACCCAAATTTGACAACACCAAGAAATACAAATACTTCACTGGCACAAGTAACCTTACAATCAACCGTTAAATCTTTGGTTGCTCCAAAATATTCACATATGGATTATCAAACGTATAGACCAATGACAATACCGTCAAAAACACGAAAATCATTCACAAGAAACACTTTTGCAGAACACAATTATAATTATGCTCACAAACCAAGAAGAAATCAACCTCCCCGAAAAAACACACAAAATTCAAATCACGTATGTTCTCATTATTGGAATCTCCCGAAAACATCGACAAATTTTCCAGATAATCCACAACCTACACAAGGATTATACTGAAAATTAACCATTCTTTCAATAAAATAAAAATAACCAACATACACCATTTAATACAAACTATTTATCATCCGATGAAGATGATTATCACCAACCAGATATTTTTGCACCATATACTAAAGAATATCGCACACAAAGACCACGACAACCTCAACCATCTCGAAATATAAAAATTTCCGACAAAATGTACAAAATGTACAAAATCCACAACAAATGCATATACAAAACCCAATTAACACACAATCTTTTCAACCAATACAACCACAAAATCCAATGTCAATGCATTCTTATCAAGCAACTCAAATGCAAAATGAAATACCGCTTCCATATTACCTTCAGCAACACGAAATAACAAAAAATCAACTTTCTAATTTTTCGCATATGTCAAATGCCGAGGAATCACTACAGATGACAATGAATCCATACCTCATGGGTGGATCATCAATAACATCCAATAAACCACTGATGGTATTCAAAGGAACAGACCCTGAATATTCTGTCTGTGTGAAGATTATCTAAATGCAGTAACAGCAAATTTAATTTTAAAAATAGGACCTGAACCAATTAATACGCCACTACATCAAATCTGGATACATAGACGCACAGCACTGATACAAACAACCTTAGATGGCGCAGCTCAAAAATGGTTTTCAGTATTACCTATAGAAATAAAATCAGACTGGAAAAGATTTACACAAGAATTTCCAAAAATGTTTGACTCCGAAAGAAATAAGCAACTCCAAAGAGTTTTATGTAATGAAATTCGCAGGTTACCAAATGAAACTATCAAACAATTAGCAGTACGTATCGA